CTTCCTTCTGAGGAGGACTTAATTTTCACCTCCTGACATAGCCTCTTCATCTCAGGAAGAAGAAGGGCAGTGATTGGAAACCCCCCCAAGAGGGAGGTGAGTTGCCGGACAGTGGGCAAGCGGGAAGCACGGCTACTGCCTGTATTTTGTTAAGTTTTTTTAATGGCCACCTATGAAAAGCTGGGCCTGTGCGGTCGTTGGGTTGGAGCGGATGGTGACTGACACAGGTGCTTTCTGAAACTAGATAACATCTTTTTGAGGTTCAGAACTTGTGAGAGGTCTGTTTATGCGAAGGGAGGCAGCAGGGACTGTGTGTCTGTTTATATCCCTCCCAATAAGGAGGATCAGGAATAGTGCCCCCTGCCAGCTTCTCAAATCAGTTTAATCCTCAAGATGTCCACTTGCAGCCTGGCTCCCTGATGCCAGTTTGTGTGTTTGTTTTGTTGCCAAAGCAGCTTAAGTTAACAGGCTTGTTTCTGGGGATTGTGGGGGAGGGGGTGAGCCTGGTGGGCGGCCCACTTCCGAAACCCCTGACGTCATCCCCATTTCCTAAGTGAGATATCGGGGAATTAATTCAGGAAGTGGCCTGCGGTCCTTGCACCTCTCCTTCCCCCGCCCCTTGCCATCCCAGCCCGCAGAGTGGGGGCATTTGAGCTCCCTTGCCTGAAGGAAACGTGGCTCAATATCCTTCCTGTCTGGACTCCAGTTCACAGGCAGCGCAAGGGAGTGAGAGGACCCCTGAGAAGATCCTTCAGTGTATCCCCAACCCCTAAGCAGAGCTCTGCTGTTCAGACCTCCTGCTGGCCTGGAGCTGTTTGGGGCTGGCAGAGAACCCTCCCCTGTTGCGTGGCATGCACCTGCTATGGGTCAGGGCTGGCTAACATGAGGGCTGTTAGGGAGTGGGGGTGCTGGAGAGCATTTGGCCTCAGGTGTGCTTTCCCACTCCTGGTGTCCGTCTCCAGGGGACCACAACCTCCTAGGGCAGGGGTTGTGGGAGCTCTGGTGAGCCTCCAGATGTTGCTGGACTCCAGCTCCCATGTTGCTCCTTCCGGGTTGCTGGGGCTGATGGGAGTCTTGCTTCTTTTACTTCACGAATTTATGTCCTCCTTCATACCTAGGATGTCTCCCCAGTCTGTAGGAACCACCAGCTTGTTTTCAGGGCAGCCCTTTTTGCTTCCAAAGTGATGAGCTTCTCAGCTGCCCATGTTTGCTCTTGGAAAGAAAGAAAGAAAGAATGAATGAATGATATTTTCAAATCAGAGAGATGCTGAGGCTTGCAGGCCCTGCTGGTCCTGGGAAGGAGGGAGGGCGCATCCCTGTATATAATTTGCCTCCAAGGTGCTTTCCTGGGAGCAGCAGCTGTTTGCCAGGGGCAAATTATCAGGCAGAATTACTCAGTGGTTGTCTAGCCCTCTTAGAACACGCCATCTGTGACCAGCAGTGTTATTTCAAACCCTTTCCATTCAACAGTGTCTGCAAATCAGCAGCCAATTACTGCATAAATTGACTCCATTCCGCGGAGGTGATTTTTGCTGACTTACCGAATGGGCAGAGCGAATGCCAAGAGTTTATGCTGTAATACCTTCCCGCCCTCCTCTGACACTTCAATAGCTTTCGGCATGGATCAGCTGTAAGAACTGGACTGGGGCTGGGGCTGTTGGCATTGCAGTAAGAACATATGAACATAAGAAGGTCCTCTGGATTAGGCTGGAAGGGGCCCACCTAGTCCAGCATCCCTTTGTCACAGTGGCCAACCGGGTGCCTGCGGGAAGCCCACCAACAGCACCTGAGCTCAAGAGCAACTCTCCCCTCCTGTGGTGTCCGGCTACTGGTACTTAGAAACATGCTAGCCCTCTCCTCCATGAATTTGTCTAATCCTCTGCCTCCTGTGGAAGTAAGTTTCATAGTTCAGCCATGTGCTGTGTCTCAGCATTTCTTATTCTTTTCATCCCCCAAGCTGGGCTCCAAATGGAAAGTATTCCAGAAACGAGCATGCAGTAATTTGGTCACTTGCATGCTGATCTCATCCGTTTGCAGAGTCTGGCAGGGGACAGCTTGCCAGAAACTGGAGTCAAACCCTGACTTCCTGTGCCAGGACAGTTTGCACCTTGATGGATCTGATGGGTAGCCAGCCAGTCACCTGCTTCATTTTCTAAAAAGGCCCCAGGTAATGATTGACTGCTCTCTCTTTCTACCTTGGGGCTTGGGATTAGATTCCCCGCCTCCAAAGCCTTTCTCCTTGAGAGTGTCCCTTTAAGCATCAAGGGGTGGTGTGAACATGTGTTAAGAGACAGATCCAAGTCTTCAGAGCTGAGCTGATAAATTGCTTTTCATTAATGGGCAAGGAGGGCCCAGGAACTGAGGCTGGCTTTCCTGCAGAAGCTTTTATGTGTATATATCCATCTTGCAAATCGTGCAGGTGCCAGGAAAGGAGAGCAAGCCTCTTCTGTCACCTCCAGAGAAGCCAGCCTATGGGCCCAGCAGGTTTGCATGGAAGCCCGTGCCTGGACAAAGTCATTGGCCTGTTGGCTCTCTTGTCTCTTCCAGGACAGTGCCGTCTCTCTCAGGAGGAGTTTTGCTTTTGACCTTCCGTGGATTGCGCTTCTGTGACTTTCAGACACGCAAGGGCAGAATTGGGCACTTGTTGTGGCATTCATTTGCCATCTGGGGGCCAGACTGCTCAAAAGTCATCTTTTTCAATACAACATTTTGGCTCCTGAAATTCGTTCTGATTGTGCACATAAGATACCAATGATAGAAGTTTACAGAATGTGTTGTTAGTGTGTGAAAACAGGCAAAGCCCAAGGAATCTCCAGGCATGCACCTCCAGATAGCGGAGACGTCAGGTGGCAATCCTGGCGCCTGGCAAATTTCAAACTCTGGTGTAGACAGGTGAGCTATTAACTTTGCTGGACTGAACTTGCAAAGTTGTCGTTGCAGCTTTGCAGAGAAGACATGGAGGGCTGAGAAGGGCTCCCACTGGCAGAAGGTGGGGGAGAGAGGTATCAGTGCTTGGCAGGGGAAGCTGGTCCATTTGGCCAAGTGGGGCTCTGCCCTTAGCCAGCCCTCCTGTTCCTGCCTTCTTGCAACCAGCCCTGGAGGTAGCCCTGCCTCTCAGCTTGCTCCTCCTTCGCCTCAGTACTGGAGCCTTCTCGAGGAGGAGGAGAACTAGAATTACGTAGTTAAGAGCTTCAGAAGCACCCTCCATCTTGCAGAATCCATCTCTGAACAGCCGTGTCCTATCGAAGTACCAGCTGGCTTTACTTGAGGCTGGTGTGCAGTACTGCCAGAACAGACAACAACTGGGGGGCGGCCAGTGCCGTGTGGGTTCTGGGGCCAGCCACTGGGGGGCTTACCTGCTCATGTGCTCATGGTATTGGGATGGTGGCGCAGGGCAGACTTTCCCCTCTGCAGAGTGCTTTGAACCATTTATCTGGGAAGAGCAGGGTGGTGTTAATAATTAAAAAATTAAAAGCCTCTACTGGGGTGGGAGGGGGTGAGCAGCTATTTTCTGGTCTGTTGTTTAGCAAAAAGCGAGGTGTGTGGGCAGGGAAGGAGGCCAGAAGCTTCCCACAGCCCCAAGCCACCTGCACCCAGAGCATGAGAAGGTGCTAATGTAGCTTCCTGTTCTCCACGGAGAGTGGGTGAGAGGCAGGCAAGCACTCGAGGCTTTCTCCTTGACATATCATACTGTTTTTAGCATTGACCTCCCCGTCACCAGCACCTCTCAGACCCTTTCACGATATGGAGACATCCACATTGTGCATCATTTTAAAAACTTCCCTCACACCCAGGATGCTGCGCCTTTGGCTTGGTTCAGCTGCCAGGCTGTCCTTAGAAGCAAGCAGCTCAGGAGGAAGGGTTTCTCGGCCCCGATCTCTCCCTGCTTGTCAGTTTATGCATTTGGGCAGTTTTCTAGGGAAGGGACTCGGGTAGCTTGAAGCTACCCAGCAGAACTTTAAATAGCTTCCCTCCTGATCGCCTCTGGTGAGTAAGAACTGCCTTTGGGCAAGTAGGAAGGGGGGCTTTTGCAAACTGGTCTGCGTCTGTCTTCCTTTGCTCCTTCTTTCCTGGCCATCAGAATGCCAAAAATGTCATTGACGCAGATGCAGGAAAATAGTTTGTTTTATGGATGAACTCCCCCCCCCCAACTCCCCTTCAGATGTGAATTGATTTGCAAGGCTAAGCCAGGCAAGCACTGTGCCTTGGAAACATCATAAAAATCTAATGCTGCCACGTCAGGCAGACGCTGAAGGAGGAGATAGCATCTCATTCAACCTGACTGCTTTCAGGCACCCCCACCTGGTGGAAACATCACATAGGTTTCAGGGTTTAGGTTCTGAGAATGGGGCGTGGGGGCTGCTGCGGCTTCCATCTTCAGTAACCCCGCTGCTATTCAATCTTGTCATCTCAAACACCTTTATTTCCCCCAAGTCTGAACTTGGATCTTTCATACGCTCTTTCCTTCAGTGTGCTGCATTTCTCTCTCCCTCCCAGCCCTCCCAAAGCAAATGCATTGATCAATGTTGGGGTGTTGAAAGTAAGATTCTTCCCTCGTTCTGTAATGGGAGATTCTGGGAGAAATCTGCAGTGGACCATGAAAAAATAATGTGTGAAGAATCTTCTGCTTTTTGCATACATCTTCACATCTGTAAAGACTCAGAAGTTGATACTAGATCAATAATCATCTAGAAACTGTGTGTCTGTGTTTGTAAGTAAGTAAGTAAGTAAGTAAGTGTAAATGTGGTCCTTTTTCTTCCAACCATCAGCAGTAGCTTCTGTTTGTTTTAAAAAGCAAATTAGATTTACTGTTCCATATATAAAAAAGGCACCTATGTTCTTGATAATAAGCAAATACAAATTGACCAATGAATTTAAAGGCAGATAACATTTTTGAAGGGAATCTTTCCAAAGAATGAAAGCCTTTATAATAGCCTGGTGGGCGGCCCTTGTTCCCCAGGCTGGATTCTCACCTGCCTGCCTTCTCTCTCTCCTTGCAGTGTGCAGAGGACTGAGGGCCCCATGTGCTAGTGACCGCCTGCCATGCTGGCCTGTCTGCCGGGACCAGGCGACCTCTCCTTCCAGCTGCTTTCTTACCCGCAGATGAACGCTGGACTTCAGAAATGTGAGTAGCTGCCACCACCACGAATCTGGACAGTGCAGCCGTGAGCTGGGAGAACCCACAGGAGGGGAGAATTGCTGTTGTGCTCAGGTCCTGCTCCAGGAGTTCCCATGGGGGCATCTAGGGGGTCACTGTGAGGACAGAAGGCTGCACCATGGACCAGTGGCCTGACTCAGCAGGCTTCTCTTAGAGTCTTCCATTCATTGTGGGTTGAACCCGGGTCCTTTCTCTGGGGTCCTTTCCACCACTCACCCAGATTGACAGCAGCCACTCTCCTTGCGGCCAACGCAGACAGAGAGAGGTGGCCTTTGGGACCCTTCTTAGCAAACTCCCTCCCTGAGTGACTCTCCCATCATTTCAGAAGCCAAGATGGGGGCAGCCGTGACCCTTGGTCATGATGCCTGAGGCTGATGGGAGTTGGAGTCCTCACAGTATCTTGGGCAGGCAGGACATACTTTCCTCCACCTCTATTCTAAAGTTGTTTTTAAAAGGAAAAAAAAAGCTGTTTTAGTGAAATCTAAAAAAGAAGCAGGGGGTAACGGAGGAAGTGCTTACTGTTCTCACAGCTATTATTTCCACCGTGCTTTTCAGCACCATTGATGTGCTATAACAGTTGCCTTTGTCTTGCTGACACTGTGAAATGTGCTTTATCTGGGTTTACAACCCGCCCTGAAGCTGCAGTGCTTCGTGGCGGGTTGACAGCTTCCATACTCCCAAATCCTGTGCTGCAAGAAGGAAATAAGGCATTAGAGGCTCCTTTGAGCCCCAGCTACTATTCCTCTTCTGGGTATGTGTGGACACAGAGGAGACTGCCCACCGCAGCTCTGTGTGCCTCCCTGTCCTCTCCTTTTCGATTGGCTCTGCTGGTAATTTTTGCCCTATCTCCATGTCTGCTCTGGCTGGGGTGTTCAGTCAGCCCCAGAGGGGTGAGAGGCTTGCCTGCCGATGGGGGATGCTGCCCATTGCCTTCTGCCCTCCCATCTGGGAACGGAGTGTTTTTTGTTCTTTTTCACACACCCGTTGTCTGATTCCAAGCAATACCTATGCTTGAAATTCATTTTAATCAGCGGATAGTAACCTAAACTGAAGCTGCAGGGGGCGGAGTTAAGTCCTCATCCCAAATAAATAATAATATTTTTATTATTATTTGTACCCTGCTCATCTGACTGGGTTGAAGGAATGCTTCAGAGGAGGTTGCTTACATTGAGACAGGATGGTTGGATGGCTGCCTGTCGGGGTTTCTTCAGCTGTCTTCCTCCATTGCAGGGGGTTGCACTGGGTGACCCTCTGGAGACCCCTCCCCACTCTACAATTCCATGATTCTGTGAAGCTGAGGAATGTCCCACCAAGAAGGGCTGGTGGGCTGCTTTCTTTTTGTTTTTGATGGACTGATCTGATTCAGATTGAATATCTTCCTTAAGAGTTACACGCCTCCTCGTTTAGGGGAGGGCCAGGGAGGCAGTCATTGTGGGGCCCTCCAGGCATTTCTGGGCTCCCAACTCCGTGCATGGCTGCAGGATACTGATGGGATTTGGGAGCCCAGCAAGAGTATGGGCGAAGGCACCACCTTGGCTGCTCCTGCCTTAGGGCTCCTGATCTGTCCTGGCCCAGCAGAAGTAAGCTTTGCTCCGTTTCTGTTGCCTCAAGCAAAGAAGAGAGCCTCCATGTTCAGGCGCAGTCTACCTTAGGGGGTGGTTGCCAGGTGCTGTGGGTAAACAATGGGACCGGGGTTGGGGGACGGAGAGCATTGCCATCTATGCCCTGCTGGTGAGCGTCCCAGAAGTGTCTCTCTGTCTATATCTGGACTAGATCAGGGAACCTGCAAGGCTCTCTGGACTGCAACTCCCGGCAGCCTGAGGATGACTGATAGCAGGGGACGATGGGAGTTGTAGTCCAGAGACATCAGGAGGGCGCAGGGTTCCCCACCCCTGGCCTAGACGGACCTTTCTGGGAGGGGCAGTTCTTTTTGTTCTTAAGAGACAGCACTGGCTGTTTGTTGAGTCAGTGTTGATGGCGTCTCTTTTCTTTCTCTCGTTTTCTTTCTCTCTCTCTCTGTCTCTCTGCCTTTCTCTTCTCCCTCTTCCTGCTTCTCTCCTTCTTCCTCCTCATCCTCCTCCTCCTCCTCTTTCCCACTCACCCCTCCCTTCCCCCCAACCAGGGGACACTCCACAGAAAATGAGAGCCGCACAGCAGCACCCTACTCCAGCAGAGTTGGACGCGTATGCTAAGAAGGTGGCCAGCCATCCTCTGACTATCAAAATTTTCCCCAACAGCGTCAAGGTCCCCCAGCGGAAACACATCCGCCGCACCGTGAACGGGCTGGACACTTCCGGGCAGCGCTACAGCCCCTACCCGCCGTCGCAGGCCTCCGTGAAGACGGGCCTCCTGGCCATCGTCCGGTCCCCGCCGGCCAAAGGGATCGTCAAGGACTTTGACGGGACCCGGACGCGCCTGCTGCCGGAAGCCATGATGAACCCCCCCTCTGCCCCCTACGCGGCACCCAGCACTTTAAGCCACCCGCAGGCGTTGGCCCGCCAGCAGGCTCTGCAGCACGCCCAGGGCTTGGCGCAGCAGCACCCTCAGGGGATCCCCACGGCCCTACAGCAGCCGCAGCACCCGCAGAGCATGGCCCACCCGGCCCTGCAGCCTCCGCCGCACCACGCCAACCACTTGCTCCAGCAGCAGCAGCAGCAGCCGCCGGCAGCGGGCCTGCACGGGGGCCGGAAGATGGCCGACGCTGACGCCCCGCCGAATGTGACTGTCTCTACCTCAACCATCCCCCTCTCCATGGCTGCCACGCTGCAGCAGAACCAGCCCCCGGACCTGAGCAGCATCGTCCACCAGATCAACCAGTTCTGCCAGGCCCGCGCGGGCATCAGCGCTACCTCAGTTTGCGAGGGACAGATTGCCAACCCCAGCCCCATCAGCCGCAACCTCCTGATCAGCGCGAGCACCCGGGTGTCCGCCCACAACGTCCCCACGCCCCTGCCTTCCTGCGTGGTGGACCCTGGGGTCCCCCCCTCGGGCCCCGGGGCCATGGGTGTCCCGCCGCTGGGGGGCGTCGTCGGCCGGGGGCCCCCCGCCTACCAAAGCGAAATGAAGCAGGTGGCAGCCTGGAACCAGCACCAGCTTGCTCACCTGCAGCAGATGTGCGGCGAGGCCGTCGGCCCCTCGGGCCTGATGGGGAAGCCCCCCGGGCGGGAGCTGCCCGGGCAGGGCTTTGCCGGCAAGGCCCCCGGCTACGCCCTGGACCTCTGCATGGGCCAGCCTTTCAACGTGAAGCCCCCGCTGGAGAAGCCCACCCCCTCGCCGCCGGTCAACAGCTTGCCGGGCCCCGCCCCCTACACCAACGGGCACTACTTCCAGCCCCTGTGGAATAACATTCTGCCCACGCCCAACAGCGACAGCTCGGGCTCCCAGGACCTGGCGATGCCTTTCCACGGCGGAGGCGGGGGGCAGCCCCTGGGGGCCGGCCTGGAGTGCACCGGCGGACCTCACTACAGGGCCGGGGCCGGCGGCCCCCCTGCCCAGGGCGGCCTGATGCAGACGATGGAATACCTGAGCGGGGACTTCCAGCACTCCTGCCTCCGGGAGCAGCAGGGGGGCGGGGGGGTGCTGAGCAAAGCCCCCCGCCCCGCCATGAACCGAGCCCACGATCCCGCGGATAGTCGCAGCCTTCATATTCAGCACCCAGGGTATAGATAAGGCAGCCGTCACTTTTCACTGACCAGAGCGAAGATTAGGGTTAGTCTTAATTTGAATTAATAAGCAAAAGGTGTGTGGCTGTTTGTTTGGTTTTATTCCTTTTGGTTTATTGCTTATTTTTTTTAAACGTGCAAACTTTGGTGATCCCGGTGACCAACTGCCGAAGGAGGTTTTTAAGCGGAGGTCTAGCCCCCTGCAGTGCAGGAATCGTAGCTTGAGAAGCCCTGGCAGGTGGCTACCCAACCTCGGCTTAGAAACCTCCAGCTAAGGAGAGCCCACCCTCTTCCCAGGTAGTCCATTCCACTGTCAAAACAGTTCTTACCCTCAGGAAGCTATTCCTAATGTTCAGCCAGAATCTCCTTCTTGTCATCAGTTTGGTTCCTCCCCTCTGGAGCGGCAGAAAACAAGCTTGCCCCATCTGCAGATATTGGAAGACGGCTATCTTGTCGCCTCTCAGAGTCTTCTTTTCTGCAGGCTATACATTCCCAGCTGAACTGTTTCTTGTAAGGCTTGGTTTCCAGGCCCTTTATCACCTTGGGACGCTCAACATGTTGATGCAGGCTAGACTAGCATTTGCTTTTTTTGCTGCTGCATCACACGGTTGACACATCTTAAGCTTGTCATCTACTGTGACCCCCCTAGGCCCTTTTCATAGCTTATACATACAGCCCTGCAGTGCCCATTTGTGGGGAAGGCTGTGAGCTGGCTATTTTTGGAAGGGGCTTGTGCTGTTGGGGCACAGCCCTACAGGAAAACACCCACGCCCAGGGTCCTCTTCATCCCCCAGACAGGCTTGCCATGGTCGTCATCATGAGTTTATTTGTATGTTGCTTTTCCATGACAGAGCCACACTCAGAGCGGCTCACGGGAACATGCAGAATAAAATACAGCGTTTCAAGATAATACATTTAATACAGTGGTACCTCTGGTTATGTACTTAATTCGTTCCAGAGGTCTGTTCTTAACCTGAAACTGTTCTTAACCTGAGGTACCACTTTAGCTAATGTGCCAGAGGGGGATAATATTTCCCCAGTTTTCTTGCGTCCTCTCACAGCCTTGGCCTCCAAAGACAGAACTTGAGCATACAGTGATCACCATGAAGTTTGCAGTTTAAACGAAAAGGATAATAATCACAATAATGATTAACAGCTGCATTTTTTAAAAAAATTATTTCTCTGTACACTGGCTAAAGCGATTGCTGTACACTGTAAACTCGGACGTGTAATATTTCTGTGTGAATGTTACCTGGTAGCGTGGTGGGGTCTGAGTAGCACTCTGGGGGTCAGCCCACTGCCCCTTCCCCCCTCTCCCCAACCTTTCCCTTCCCACAGCCCCGTGGGGGCTAAAAACACATTGATGACAAATTAATGAAGCCTTAAGCTGTTGCTCCTCCGGTTCTCCCTAACGAGCATGGATTAAACTCTGAAAGCTATCAGACAAAAACTTCTTTTTTAAAAGAAAGAAGAAAACCACGACAAAATTTCCAAATGTTTAAAAGTGATGTCCTAGTTGGCTTAGAGGTTCTTAAGGATTTTTCAGAAGTTGGGGAAATTAGGATCAGTTTTTAAATCTGTGTATCTCTTTTGATTTAGGTGTCTAGTTCTGGGCTGTAGGAAACCTCGGTAACCTTCTTGAGCTTAGCTGCCATCTCCCTCCGCCCGCCCCCCCCCCCGCCCCCCAACCTAGTGCAGGATCCTTTGGCTATTTTAAAAATCCCTCGATCAGGGTGTTAGAAGAATCGTGAGGTCCTTCCTTTTTTAAAAGTGCTGTTGCGCTGTCTCCTTAGGACAAGATTCAGTGATCTAAAATACTTTTTTTTTATTTAGTGGATTAAATTATGCGCCGGCTTGCGTTGCCTTAACAGGATGCCTGATCTGTTACGCCAAATCCTAGCGCCACAGAAATCCTAATTTATTGTTCTTAGAATCTGACCCCTGCGGCCTTTTTGCTTGCTTTTTTTTTAAATTTGCTGGGGAGAGGGAGGAAGAAGATGGGGTCCACACATTTTGGTGAAAAAATGGGTGGTCTCCAATCTCACTTCTGCCCCCCATCCTACTCCCAGCGAAGGGTTCTCCTGCAATCCCCCCCCCCCCCCAGCAACAGGGCCAAAGCGCTCTCCCTGCTTCCCTCCTCAGCCAGTCAACCGCTGCTGGGTGCTCTTTTGTTTTGTTTCGTTTTTTAAGGTTCCTGTAAACTTCTGATACCTGGACACGTTTTTACTGAAAACCTTCCCTGTCCTCTGTCACCTCTCCAGGTACCAAGCTTAGACTGTTAAACTGCAGCTCCTTTTAACTCCTCCACCCTCTGATCCCAGAGCAGTGCCAGAGCTAGCCCCCAGACCGCCCCCCCCCTGCACGGCAGAGCTAGTGCCCAGACCTCTCCCCCCTCTCCCGACTTATCACTGTTGTTGCCGTCGTTTTTGTGGAGAGGCACCTCCGTCTACCTTCATAGTTTTGTTTTTTCTGTTGTTTTTTGAGCTCCTAAATCAGGGGTCCAGCACAGCTTACTTAACCACCTTTTTCTCCGGTGATGGCCAGGGCCTACACTAGCTCAGCTTTGAGGTTCTCCCTTCCCCGCAAGGTACCCACATGTTCCCCCTGCCCCCTCTTTGCAGAATTTGGGCTGGAAGTGAAGGGCCTGCGACCTGCTTTGGTGCTGCCCAATTCCCTCCTCTTTTCCCCAGCACCACCACTACAAAGAAACTAGTTTTAAACAGACTTCCTTTAGCAAAGGGACGGGAGCATTTCCTCAGACACATTGGCTGTTGACCACTCTGTTCTTGACCTGCGGCCATGTTTTTACAAGCATGGTGCGGTGGGCATCATGCAGCGTGTTCACCTTGAAGAGGAGGAGGGACACGCTACTGTCCCTTTGCACCTCCTGCTTTTCCTTACAGCCCCCCATCCATCCATCAGAAACGTGTGGGCCTCCTAGGAATGGGGGGAGAAGGATGTAGAGGCCTGTTGGAGCACTGTAGGAGCCCCCGTCCTATTCATCGCAGTTCCAGTAACGCCAAGACAGCACCTCCCTCTTCTCTCCCCCCACCCCCCCTTCCCAGAATCAAGCTACAGGCCCACAATTTTGCTCAGAACGCAGAAAAGTCCTGCAGCTGCCACTTGGGAGAGATTCCCCCGTCTCTCTGCAGGTTGGGGTGTGAGGGGAAGCATTTGGGGAGCCCTCAGAGCAAAAGCAGTGACCCTTGCAGGTTCCCATGGGGTGTCCACAGTGCCCCTCAGCCCCCAGGAGCAGGGAAGATCTTCTGCATGGGGGGAGGAGGAAGGTTGATGGTCTTAAACTGCTGCTGTATTTTCCTTAAAAAACACTTCACTGATTATAATTACTGTTATTAATATAAGCTGCTGCTCATGTGCTACGGGTATCCAAACTAGAGTTTCTTCTCTCTTTCTCTCTCTCTTTATTTTTTTTTTTTTTTTTTGGTCTGCAGGAACAAAAAATAAAAAAGTGAAGCCAAAAAAACCCTTAAATCTCTGGTCACGCTTTCTCTGTCTCCCGCAACCCTTTCTGAAGGGTGCCTGAGTGTGGTCCGTCCACCTTGCCCAAAGCCCGCCTGCGCTGTTGTGGGTGTTCTTGGAAGGTTGGGGGTGGGAAGTGTCTCTGTGCCATGAGGGGTTAAAGTTTAAAGGGACCCCTGACCATTAGGTCCAGTCGCGGAAGACTCTGGGGTTGCGGCGCTTATCTCGCTTTATTGGCCGAGGGAGCCTGTCCGCAGACAGCTTCCGGGTCATGTGGCCAGCATGACTAAGCCGCTTCTGGCAAACCAGAACAGCGCATGGAAACACCGTTTAACTTCCCGCCGGAGCGGTACCTATTTATCTACTTGCACTTTGAGGTGCTTTCGAACTGCTAGGTGGGCAGGAGCAGGGACCGAGCAACAGGAGCTCACCCTGACGCGGGGATTCAAACAGCCGACCTTCTGATTGGCAAGTCCTAGGCTCTGTGGTTTAACCCACAGCGCCACCCGCATCCCACCCATGAGGGGTTAGGGACCCCTTTTCAGCCTGAGAGGCCCCATTCCCACAAGGGCAAGCAGGGAGCCCACCCGTCCTCAGGGGAAGTTATGGAAGTGACTTTGCCTTTTGGGGTCCAATCACTCCACAGCTGGAGCGGTTTTCCATGACTCGTGCTAACGCCGGCACCTCTCCCCACCCTGGCAAGTGAGAGACATGGTCACCATTCAGCAGCACAGACCAGCTTGGCAGAAGCATGCAAGGAACGGGGGAAGCCAGTGAGGCAAGAGTCCCAAGGGTGGCATAGAGAGAGCCCTGATCCTGACATCCCACACCCGTGTTGCACAGAGTATGAAAAGAGGATCAGACACATCCATGGAGGAGAGCTATTGAAGACTACCAGCCACAATGGCTGTGCTCTTGCCTCCACAGCTGGGAGGCAGCGATGCTTCTGAATTCCAGTTGCTGGAAGCTGCAGGAGGGGAGAGTTGCTCTTGTGTCAAATTCTGCTTGCTGGTTTCCCAGCAGAGGCATCTGGCTGGCCACCTTGAGAACAGTGGACTGGATAGTCCATCTTGGCACCTATTCCCACAATGGCAATTTGTTTGGAATAATTGGATTTTATATTATTGTAACCCGCCCTGGGATCTGCTGGTAAAAGGTCAGCTAACTGAGTAATAGCAGCTCAGCTGTGCCTACACTGACTGGCAGCAGCAGCTCTCTGGGGTCTCAGGCAGGGATGTCTCCCAGTCTCGCCTGGAAAGGATGCCGCTGGGAACTGAACCCGGGAACTTCCAGCCATAGTGGCTGCTGGGCGTTTAAAAATTCATGCATACCACTTGATTTCAAGAAAATGCCCGACTCTGCCTGAGCCGTGGCATGTGCTAGACCAGGACACTGAGTGTCAGGACAGACCGCACAGTGTTTCTTGGGAGGGAGGAAGCTGAGAGCTGCATTGTGTTGGTAGGAGCAAATTGGCAGGGGTCAATGATGCAGGGGAGCCTTTTGACTTTCTCTCCATCCAAAATCTTCTCCTACCCCTGGCATCAATCATTCAATTGCATTTATATCCTGGCTTTTTCCTCCAAGGAGCTCAAGGAGGCATGCTTGCTGCTCCCCTTCCTCATTCTAATCCCCACAACAGCCCTGTGAGGCAGGTTAGGCTGAGAGGCCGTGACCAGTGCGTCTCACGGCGGAGGGGGGATTTGAACCCTGGCCCTAGTCAAACAGTCTAACCACCACACCACACTGCTGCTCAGCTGCCGCCTGGGCGCTGCAGTCTTCCTGGTTCTTACTGCAGAATCCTCAGCTTCCGTGGCCTCGGTATCAAAGTGTGAGCTTTGTGCACAGCGGGATGTGGGCCACCGTGCTCAAGCGCATGGCTGTTGCTCACTGCAGCTCTCAAGCTCGTACGCTAGAGGGCAGGCTCGCCTCGCACTGCGCTGCTTCTGCACTCTCCAGAGGCTGCCTCCAGCCTTGGGAAGCAAGCACCGCTCCATTCCTTGCTCACCTACCAAATGCCTTGTGACGTGGCCTCCTTTCAACCGCAAGCCAAGCCTTGCACTCGGCTCTCAAGCTTCTTGGCCTTCTGGGAAGTAAGCAAGCTGCCAGCTCTGCTCCGCTTTCCCCAAGGGCCTGGCTCCTGCGCTTGTACAAGTTTTTGAGCGCAGAGGCCCCTTTTGAGAACTCTCGCCAGGGGGTTGGACTAGATGGCCCTTTGGGTTCCCTTTCCAGCTCTACAGTTAGGCACATGGCCAGGGACAAGGAGGTTTACGTGAGACAGGACAACTGCTTTTGGAGGCCCTTGAAGGAACATGGCAGTGTGAGTCGGTGCCACCCCAGGGGGGCTGCTGGAAGGGGTTCAAGGGCTAATGCAGACTGTTTTTTAAATGGTTAAGGATCCACTTGCCACCTAATACGACTCCAAGCTGGGATTAGTCCAGAGCTGAGCTGGCCAGGCTCTTTGCTTATAGCTGTAGAGGTCAGTGGGTGGTTAGAGGCCTGGTGGTCCCATTCTGCCCATCTCTGCTGGCTTGGAGACTTGCTTGGCACAAGCCTCAAAACCTGCTTGGTTGATGAGAGTCCTAGGTTCCCAGACATTTTTTGAGCCGCTGCCTCCTTGGTTCCCAGTTCCCCCTACATTCAGAACAGTGCTTTGCCCCAATAACACAATGCAACTCAAAACAGCAGCAATTAATTGCACATTGGTTCAAACCCCAGTTAAAACGATTTAGTTTAAGGATTTGAACAAAATGGGTGAACTTTATCCCGGGAGAGCAGCTTTTCAAAGTCTGATAGTCATGTATCCCCTCAACACCCCCTTGTTGCCCCCTTTCCTCTTAGCACCCCCCCCCCCCGAAAATTCCAATACCCCACAGGGGTCAGTACTTTAGAAACCACTCATCTAGAAGGAAGCCTTTGCAGCCTCTCCCAGGAAACCAAAGCTATTCTCCCTCTTCCACCACTTAAGATCCTAGTCCTCGTTCCGAATAGAGGGGGGACAGAGAAAACTGCTTTATACAGGCTCTGGCTGAGGTCTTGGTTCGCATTGTGAGACTCAGGCTCTATTGCATGCTGGGCCATTAGCTGATGCTTCTCTTCCACCCATGGGCAGGTGATAGTATTTGGAAGATGCTGAACCTGAGATCTTCTGGACTGAGCAATAACCCACCCCAACTGTAGCTTTCCCCATCCCTGCCCATTTTACTGGTCTCCTTAGCCACCTGCTGCCTCTAAAAACAGATAATCTCCTGGCCAGCAGCTTCTACTAGCCATAGTGGCTTGGCTCTGCCTCTGCAGTCAGTCTGCAACACTTTGGAGCAGCAGCAGCAGCTGGAAACCTCAGGAGGGGGCAGCTTGCTTGCGGGTTTCCCTGACTGGCCACTGTAAGAACAGGATGCTGGACTAAATGGGCCTGATCCAGCAGGCAGGCTCTTCTTGCCTTCTGGTAACCAGGGCAGGTGACACCGCAGCACTCCACAGTTGCTCACCCGGTGCCCTCCCCTCCAGGTCTGCAAAAACCGGGCTGCACTTCAAAGGCCTCTTTGGAGAAGAATATTGGCACCCAAATTCACACCTGGAGAGAAGGCTGCCAGGGATTTGATTGTCTTTCTCTAGAGCCGCT